CCCTTAATTTCTGTTTGTCTGAGAATGCCTTGATTTTGCTATATTTAATTGATAATTTGGCTGGATATAGAATTCTAGGTTGACAGTTCCTTTTTCCTTTCAGCATATTAAAGATGGCATTCTATTCTATTCTGGCTTGCATTGTTTGGGATGAGAAGGAAGTGAATATTCTTATCATTGTTAACCATATATACTGTGTCCTTCCTCCCTCCTGTGCTCCTCCCCCCTTTTTGGTGGCTTTAAGATTTTCTATCTGTAATTTTCAACTATTTGTCTACAATGAGCAAAGGTGTGTGTGTGGGGGTTATTAAGCTTCATGGATCTGTGATTTGATATTTATAGCAAAACTTGGAAAATTTTGATCTTGTTTTTTAAACTACTTATTTATTTATTTTTATTGTGCTTTGGGTGCAAATTTACAAAGCAAACTTGTTTTATATTCAATAGTTCATGCACATCTGATTTCGCAGCCCCAATTACTGTCCCCAACCATAAAAAACTCGCTCCTCTCCCCTCTCCCCCGTGCCCTTCTAACCTGTGCATTCCTCACTGTCCAGCTTTCCCTCTTTATGAATGCTGTCCCTCTGGTGTCTCATAGCTCATTGATCCAAGGAGTGCATCTCCCTAGAGTAGGTGGGTGCATTGATCTGGGGTAGATGTTCTGCATGTAGGTCTTTCTACTGTTGGGCTGAAAGCCAATTCATGGGAGTGAGTCCATTTCTAGGCCCAAAGGGTAACCTGGGGCCATAGTCTCGGGGGTTCTACCAGCCTCTTTCCGACCAGTAATTCTGGTCCTTTTTGTGTTTTTGAATTTTGTTCCACATTTTTCCTCCCATTCTATCTAGGATCTCTAGTTTTGGTCCCTTTCCAAGCAGTTGCAATTGGTAGCTGGGCACCATCTAGTTCTTCTGGTCTCAGGGTCTGAGGTCCTTATGGTCCATCTTATCTTTGAACTAATTTTTTTCAGATGACTTTGATTTTCTTCACTCTTCTTTGCTCCAGATGAGAGAACAATAGTTGCATGTTAGATGGCTGCTTGAAAGCTTTTATGACCTCAGTTGCTACTCACTAAAGTAGGTTGTAGAACAAGATTTTTATGTACTATGTTGTGCCAATTGAGCATGGGATCCCCCGAGACCATGGTCCCAAGTCCACAGACCTGGTGATTCTCTCTCACAGGTGTTTGGTTGTCTCCGAGAAGTTACTTCAACCCTGTCTTCTGTTGCTTCTGTAATGTATGTGACTAATTTTGTAGCACAAGCACATATGTAAGATTATCTTTAGCCAAATCTGTCCTTGGTCTAGGATGTATTCCTGTTCACCTACCCCAACCTGATCTTCTCACCTGTCTCTGTATTCATCTGTAGCCTGGTGTTTGGTGCAAGTGATACTGCAGCATTGTGCATGTAGTAGTATTTGCCTCTGTTGCCTATATCTTTTGTGTATGTTTCAGTGTCCTTCCTTTCCCCAGTGTCACCATGCTAGTCACAAACTCTTCCCATACCGTTTCTCCCCTCACCCAAATCAACATGTGACCCCCAACTACTTATATTTGCAAGAAATAGCAAAGAGGTATAGAGGTATCTCATGTACAGTTCAGCTAGTTACTCCCAATGGTAGCATCTTACATAAATATAGTACCATATTGAAACCAGGAAATGGACATTAGTATAATGTATGTGTATAATTCTCCCCCATTTTATCATATGTATAGAATTATGTCACCACAACTACACTCAAGATACAGAGCTGTTCTGTTACTGCAAATGTGTTCCTTGTGTGTGTCAGTAGTTCATTCATTTTCATTGCTGATGGACCACAGTTTAACGACTTTCCTGTTGAAGGATATCTGGGCTGTTCCAAGTTCAGGGCTTGTCGTTGGCTGAATAATGTCTCCCAAAGATCTTAGATCCTAATCCCTGGAATCTGTAAATGTTACCTGACTTGGAAAAAGGGACTTTGCAGATGTGAATGAGGATCTTAACATGAGGAGATTGTCCTGATTATCCAGGTTGGCCCTCAATGCAATCATACATATATTTTTAAGAGGCAGGCAGAGGAAGATTAGATGCAGACAGAAGAGAATAAATCAGTGTGACCAAGGAGGCAGAGATTGGAGTGATGCAGCCACAAGCCAAGGAATGGTGAAAGCCACCAGAAGCTGGAAGAGGCAAAGACAAAGAAGGAGTGTTACCCTATCAGCACTTTTATTACAGCCCAGTGGTAATGCTTTCAGAATTCTGGCCTCCAGAGCTGTGAGAGAAAAAATTTCTGCTATTGTAAGCCAGTGTGTGGTAATTTGTTCAGCAGCTGTAGGAAACTCCTACATGGCTATTAAGAGTAAAGCTACTCTAATGATTCATAGTCAGGTGGGTTTTTTTTTTTTTTTTGTGTGTGTGTGTGTGTGTGTAAGTTAAAACTTCATTTCTCTGAGATAAATGCTCAGCACTACAATTGCTGGGCCATATGGTAGATAGATGTTTAGTTTTTTAATGAATTGCCTAATTGTTTTTAGAGATACCTGTGCCATTTTACATTCCCACCATCAATGGATGGGTGATCCAGTTTCTCTAAATCCTCACCAGCATTTAGTATTGTTGCTAATTTTTATTTTAGCCATTCCAACAGGTATATGGTGTTATTTCATTGTGATTTTAATTTACATTTTCCCGATTGCCAATGACTCCACTTTGAGGAGACAGCTCTTTCCCAGTCATAGTTTTAGTGCCTTCCAGCCTGAGGGGCTCATCTTCTGGCACTATATCAAACAATGTTCTGCTGCTAATTATAAGGTGTTCAGTGGCCAGTTTTTTCAGAAGTAGACCACCACATACTTCTTCCTAGTCTGTCCTAGTCTGGAAGCTCTACTGAAACCTGTCCACCATGGGTGATCCTGTTGGTATTTGAAATACCAGTGGCATAGTTTCCAGCACAGAGCAAAAGTTTTCAGGACTTTCATTTGCTGATGTGGCAAGACTCAAAATGAGAAGAAACAGAGGCAAACATCAATTAATAATCAGAAATTGAAATGTATAAAGTATAAATCTAGGAAAATTGGAAGTTTTAAAAAAATGAAATGGAACACATAAAAATTAATATCCTAGGCATTAGTGAGCTGAAATGAACTGCTGTTGATTGTTTTGAATCAGATAACCATATGGTCTAGTATGTCAAGAATGACAAATTGAGGAGGAATGACATCACATTCATTACCAAAAAGAACATTTCAAGATCTATCCTGAAGTACATAACTGTCAATTATAGGACAATATCCATATACCTACAAAGAAGATCAGTTAATACTATTATCCAAATTTACACACCAACCGCTAATGCCAAAGATGAAGAAATTGAAGATTTTTACCAACTTTGACAGTCTGAAATTGATCAAGCATGCATTCAAGATGCTTTGGTAATTACTGGTGATTGGAATGCAAAAGTTGGAAACAAAAAAGAAAGATCAGCAGTTGGAAATATGGCCTTGTGATAGAAGTGATACCAGAGATCACATAATAGAATTTTGCAAGACCAGTGACTTATTCATTGCAAATACCATTTTTCAACAACATAATCAGCAGCTATATATGTGGAACTCGCTGGATGGAATACACAGGAATCGAATCGACTACATTGAGGCGACTGAGAAGCTAAATAAATATCATTAGTCAGGACAACGCCAGGAGACAACTATGGAACAGACCATCAATCACTCATATGCAAGTTCAAGTTAAAACCAAACAAAATTAAAACATGTCCACAAGAGCCAAAATATGATTATATCTCACCTGAATTTAGAGATCATGTGAAGAATAGATTTGACTCATTGAACACCAGTGACCAAAGACCAAATGAGTTGCGGGATGACATCAAGGACATCATACTCGAAGAAAGCAAAAGGTCATTAAAAAGAGAGGAAAGACAGAAAATACCAAAATGGATGTCAAGAGAGACTCTGAAACTTGTTCTTGGATGTAGAGTAGCTAAAAGTAATGGAAGAA